CTCCCCCCCCAAATAACTAGGAAAAAAAGGAAAAAAAAAAACAAAAAAGGTAAAGAGGATTAATATGATGTCTATAAGGTTTGCAAATGGGGTCGACTACGATTTGAAGTTCCAGGAAAAAATCGTGTCAAGGCAAAGATGCCAAAAACAGAAGAAACAAGAAAAACTTGCAGAACAAAGGCGCTTAATCCGGCCAAAACATAAGCCTTCCCGGAACTTTTACATAATTTTATCCTGCTGCAAAAAATGCCGGTTCAACCCTTAACAACCCGAAAAAGGAAAAAAAAAAGACAAAGAGGATTAATACGAAGTCTGTAGCGATTACAATTTGATGTCTCTAGAGTGCTTCATCAACGGCGCATAAAAAGTATGATAAGCGGTAATCAACCCTTTTCCAAAAAAATAAAAAATACCGGAAAAAAAGACGCTGAATGGAATAGATCAAAACAAAATAAAAAAAAAAAAAAAACACCTTGCTTTGTCTGGCATTCATCTCTTCTCGTTGCTGAGCCAATTTATCGAGCTTTTTTCGAGCTTCGTTCAGCTCATTCTCATAAATCGTGTATTCAACGGCTCTAAAAAGCGCAACTTAAACTCTGATAATCCGATTTTGATAGATAATTCGAACGAAAAATATGACAACCCGGTACAAACACACGTTTTACGTAACTACACCAAGCCTGTAGATCCTTTTGTCCCCTCATCTGTGGTACCAACTTTGGGGATCTATGGAACTAATCCAAATTCTTTTTCCATCAACTATTCCTTGATCTTTGATACAGCGTTTCCGTCAATGACGCGTGCTGAGACTTAACCCAGACTTATATATTTAAGGTTAAGTGGAAATTTCAGCGAAAAATGTAGAAATGGATGACAGAAAAGGTCAAAAAAGAGTAAAAAAGGGAAATATGTAAAAAGAAGTAATAAATTAGGTAAGAAATGTTTCGGTCAACTAAGTCGTATACATTTCTACATGTTGAAATATACAGATTTAGCAGAGTAAATCTGCACGGATTTAACCAGAAG